ATATAAGCAATCACTAAATGAACTGAATGAGACTGAATTTAATCTTCAGTCTCAGTCTTATTCTGATTTTGAAAGAATAATCATCTTTCACTGTTTATTCTGAGAAATTACTTCTGTTTCACTGTTCTTAAATTAAATCTGGTCATTTTTCACATCATTTCTCTCAGAAATAGTTCATTTTCAGATTTTTTTAATGCTTGGTTCTGATGGAACTCATGTCAAGAAATGTATAAGATCAGATTAAATGAGATCAAATGTGAAATTCATAGTTTCATTAGTCAGTCTAAATAAGATGCCTTGTTCAGATAGTCAGACAAGTTCTAATATAAGATTATAGTCAAGATTATCAACTTCATATACATAAGTGTCTTCATGTTGATGTCTCTTAATATCTATGTTTAATTTCACTATGTAACAGATGCAAATATCTCTTGAGTCAATAAATTCTGCAAGAAGTTAAGATTTTGATAAAGAGATATGCTGAAGATTTCAGTGTCTTATAACTAAAGATTTAATCATTGTATAGTGACATATATCACTATCAATCATAACTTTCATATTATGCATGTCATCTATCACAGTAAATATAAGAATCACATTTATTGTTATTTTCTGTTTAAATTATTATTATCTGACCTCTTTAAGCTTCTGCTTGCAAGTTTGAGTAGAAGCTAATCTTTTCCCTGTTTTATCAGAGCATTCTCATAGTTATCTTTTAAATCCTTCTTTAGTGTAATGTGATTGACGCAGACTGTCAGTATTGATCTTTTCTTTGAATGAGAAGATATATAGACTGATCAGCAGTTGAAAGTAAGATGTTTTGATCAGTTACAATTGATATACATCTCTCATTGACATTAATCAGCAGCTTCTTCAGAAGTGATCTCAGAGACTTGAATACCTATTCAGAGAGTGAAGACTCTTACTTATACATAGATATTTAAGTCTATTCAATTCATAACATCTGCATTATTATTCTTTAGTACAGATGTATGAGTGTATCATCTTCTGTCATTATTCTATATACTTTTAAGCTTGATAAGATAGTCATTTAATGTTCAGAGTTGTATGCAGAAGTCTTTATAAGTTCAGTCTTCATCTACACTTATAAGAACTTATAAGAGTTTAAAAGTTAGTGTCTTCTTGAGCATGCTAATCTTCATTCAATTCTCTCAAGATTGATTACCTGCTTCTAGAATCTTGATATCAAAGTCAGAAATAAATGTTATAAGAGAAGTATTTCTCTGTTAAGCACTCTGTAATTAATCTAATGCCTTCTGCTATATAGCAGTGTCTCTGAATAGAACATTAAGATATCTGATAATATTATCAGATGTACATAACACTGATTCACATGTCTTTATTTTTCAATGAAACTTCTGTTTCATGCAATCTTTTAATCAATCATTGATATACTAATCTTGATTAGTTAATGAACTGATGACATCTGCATCTACACTTAGTTTCACAAGCATGTTTAATCTTCATAATAGATAGAGAGTGAGATTAGAAGTATTAAAATATACAGAAGTATCTAGATATTTCTTCAGTGTTCATACTATCTTTGATTTAATCAGTGTTAAAATTATCTGTGCAGAGATTTCTTGTTGAGTTAATCATTGAATTTCTTCATATTGCTGTTATTAATTTATATGCATATTAGCTATCTATTGCTGTTATAATTTTAATATTGCTCAGAGTCACTACAGTACTGTGTCTATACTTCTATTTAAGAGTTCATTCATGTTATTAGTAGACATAGTTATATTATTCATTGAATATATAATATCTGCATTTGAGAGTTCTTCAGAGTCAGAAGAAGTGTATCCATATAACTATCTTATACATCTAAGATGTCAGAATTCTCAGATCTTTCACTGATATTCTTTTTATAAGATCTTATTACAGAGTCAGAGTAACTGATGAGTAAGCTGCTATTTAAAGACTTAGTATCTACTTAACAGATTATTCATTTCTCTATTTCTTATGTATTATTACATGTTCAGATATCTTTTCAATGAATAATCATTTCTAATGAGAAGATAATGAACATTTTTCAAGTATAAGAGGCCTACACTGAATAGATTGATATTAATATATAGGTCTTATCTAACAAAAGTGAAAAATATTAGAGAAGGAAAATAAAAGAGAAAGTGTGAGAATCAGTAATCAGAGTGAATATTTATACACATATAAGATAAAGCTTCAGAGTGAAAGAATAGAAACTTCATAAGTTTCTTAACTGAGAATTGATAACTAAAAATCAGAGCTTTCAGCAGAAATCTATGAAGTGTAATAAAATGAATCAATGACTGAGAATCAGAGCTTTTGACAGAAATCTATTAATTAGGTGTAGTCTGCTACAGTTCTATATCTAATACTGATCTCTACAGTGCAGGCTCATTACATATATAATTCATGATTTTACTAGGTTTTATAGGTGAAAAAGCAAGAAATGATTAATTTTACATATATAATTACTTTTGACAGACTATCTTGATGAATTGAGTATTTTTATATGTGATTCTTATTATCTTAAGAGAGAATGTTAACTGTTGCAGCTATTATAGCTATTATTTATAATAATCTCTCTAGATTATATAACTAATCACTATATTAAGCTCTTTATAGATAGCTTTATTAATAAAACCTTCAACTATTCTACAGTGTATTTATATGATTTAAACAAGATAATGATGATTAATACACATTTAAAAATCAAAAATGATGATAACTGAAAATATTTCAGTTGTGATAATATGCTGAGACACACTTACTAATGATAGAAAGTTGCGTTTGACACAATTATAACTCAAGAGAGTGTTTTGAAGATTGAAGAAGTCTTGAGTTATATATAAAATATCAATCAATGAGAATAAAAAAGTGATTAAAACTATTCAGTTTCAATCACAAAAACATGCAGTATCTCAGTGTAGTGTATATGAAATTATTGAATATACTGTTTATATACACTCTAGATATACAGAAAATACTTCTTAATACAACTAACTTGATTTTCTTTGTGATTTTTGTGACATTTGACTATAGAGTTATCAAATAGTAAAGAGGTGTATGAGTTGGTGGTGGATTACGTTACATGTTTTTCTAACCGCTCAATCCACCGCCGTCAACTCCTCCGGCGTATCGGGCTGCCTACTCCAATGCGCCCTCCTCACTCCATCCAACAGCTCCAACTTCTTAAACACCCGCTTCACAGTCGGATACACCCCCAAATCCATCCCAACCCTCTGCGCCCCCCACACCGCGGGCACAAGACACACATCCGCCAACGACAGCGCATCACCAACCGCATATGTGCCCGCGCAAGATTGCATTAGCGCCTCTAGCGCCGCGAAGCCAGTCTCCATCAGCTCTCGGGCCCAGAGGGTATTATCAGCGCCGAGGGCCTTGACGCGCTGCTGGATGCGCATGTTTGTGACGGGCTGGATGTCGCAGGCAATGATGTTTACGAGGGTGCGGACGCGGGCACGCTTTTCCGGGCAGGAAGCGGGCGGGAGGAGGGGGGTTCCGTTGTCTAGATTCGTATTTGTGGCATTTGTAGAGAGTTCTTCGAGGTATTCGAGTGCGGCAATGGATTGGCCGATGGATAGGAGTTGAGTTTGGTTACTGGTGGTAGCCTCGGTGGCGGGCGAGGGGTCCTCTGTGGTGACGATAAGGACAGGGACGGAGGCGGAGGGGTTGAGGGCGCGGTGGGTTGGGGAGAGCTGTTCACCCTTGAGGAGATTGATGAAGGTGGTTGTATAGGGGATTTGTTTAAGGTTAAGAGCGATGCGGAGGCGGGCGGCGCAAGACGAGCGGAAGTAGGAGTATAGATGGAATTGATAGGTTCTGGTTAGAGGTTTCTCGGAGGCCATGCTGAGCGGTCGCGAGAGATTGTTGTGGTATGGGCTTTGGCCGATGATGATATTGTTATGATGAAGAAGAAGCAGAAGAAGATGATGATGATGACGATGATGGCGGTGTTGATATGACCTTATTATCCTGAAAGGTGGGAAGCGGGGAACATTTTGCAGGTTAAGGGATGCCTATACGGATAAGGCGCGATTTTGCAACCAACTGTACTCAGTATAGTATGGTCATGTGCATACCACAAACCTTCCGAGGTTGTATTGCCAATGCTCATCCTGTACTTGTAAGTTATTATTGTGCGTGGTGAGCACTGATTGATTTCCCAAGCATCAAAGTAATTTGACATAATTGCACAGAAAACACTTGAAAACTAGTGCTGAGTTGTATAAGACATTGAAGATATCTCTTAATATCATTCAACCTCTTTCATTCTTCCATTGTATGAAAGAAACATTGATAAATTTGAGCGATCAGTGATACTTTGGAAAATAGTGTTTTCTGGAGCCGCGAGCAAAATGTGCTAGCTTGAGCATGGCTTGAGTGTTCTGTTCTCTGCAGCAGCATATACTCCGCATAGTGACTGTAGTAACTAAGGGTAAATAACGACGTCATTCCGGGGTCTTTTAACTAGAAATGAGTAGAAGTGTGGGGCTGGGCCCCTGGTGGGGAGGGGTGTGGTGGGGGTTAGTAGTAGGCGGAATCAATCCAGGGGCTACGAGGTGTAAATTCTTAAGGAAAATATGTAAAGCTTATTGCTGAGAATTCTATTAAATAGCCGCTCTGAAAAACAAGAGGGTGTATTATCAAATTTGAATTTCTGAATTTCCTATCATTCTTGTTTCAATCTATAGTTACTCTTTTCATAGTATAGTAAACAGATCATTATTATCATCTGAACTTGTAGCTAATTATGCCATCATGTGTATAAACTACAAACAACAAAAGGGGAATCACCAATCCTGTGGTTTTGCAGATCAGGCGCGAGCTGCTGAGCCGGTCCGATCAACGGAGGGGGCGAAGAGCCAGAAGGCAAACAAGAAAAAAAGAAAAAAAGAAAACAGTGAGTCCAAGAGCCAATCTGACCTAGGAGGAGAAAGCAAAAAAGCATGAAAATGGGGGAATTCAGGAATTCAGCAAATAAAAAACCCCGTCGTCAAGCCCACAATTGTCCCCACTCCAATCCCCAGTGCCGTCCGTCCGAAAGATTTCTTCTTCCCCCTTTTCTGACCATCCTCCCGCGCACGCACTTCATCCGCCAACCGCTGGAAATTCCTCCTCAACATTTTCCCACTCTTCTCTACAAGTCTCAACTTCCTGTGTAGCTGCTCCTTCGTCTCCCCGAGCACGCGGCCGTGATCGAAATCCTTCCTTCGGAGTGCCTCATCCAGTTCCTCGCACAGCGCAGCAAGTTCACCGGCGTACCGTTGCCTCTCCTCTCTGATTTCCGCATACAGTTCTCGACCCACCATCGTGTCGCCCAGCCGCTGGCCCTGTATCACCATTTCCCGCTGGATGTCCAGGGGCTGGATTGGCTTTTGGCTGCGCAGGAGGCAGGCTTTGATAATCTCCTGCGCCGATCGCTTGCTGCCGTCATGACGCATCATCATGCCGCCGTGGCTGAGTATACTGCTCCAGTAGCGGTCGCGTAGTTGCTTCTCGAGAGCTACACCCTCATCGAACGTGTGTAGTTTCCCCCACATATTCGTTGTCATGATTGCGTGGGATAAATTGCCAGCGCCACAGAGTTTTTTCATCATACGTAGGTTGCGCAGGGCGGGGGCCGTCCATGCGCCTGCTTGTTATGTCATGTAGGTATATGATGCCGGCTAGCTTGATGTTGTTGCTATAGAGGAGACACAGGAAGTTGGCGATGGAGCTGAGAGTGGTGGTATCGCTTCTGTTTGCTTTGTTGAAGCCTGGGGTGTCTACGAGGATCACTCGTGTTTTCTGGTCAATTTGGTAGGGGTAGATTTCGATGTTGTCTGTGCCTGTGCATGTCGAATTAGAGAGGAATAATCTTATCTGGCGGATCGAACGATCGAACTGGTCGGGATAGGCGATGGATTTGATATGATAAGGGAGTTAAACATACATCCTGTGAGGCTGTGACCGATAGGAGCACTCTGCCCGTCGGCGAACAGAGAGATAAAACTGCTCTTCAACGACCCTGTGTGTCCCATCATAAGAATCACAAGGTCGCCCTGTCTGATGATTTTATGTGCATGTTAGTCGATGATAGAATAAAACCAGGCAGCCTCCACCACATAGAACTTACCGGAGTCTGACTTCCTCCTGCCTTTGGCGCGGCGCCCAGTATGCATTTTCATTTTGCCCTGCATTCTGACTGTGAGATGGTATCCGCTCCGGCCGTCTGGAAGGTCTGCTATTATCAACAGTTCCCAACTGGGCGCTGTTCGAGAACGATTGCGGTTGTTGAGCTTGCGACAACCCCCCCTGGCCTGACGACAGAAGATGATGATATGGTGGAGGCGAGTGAGGAACAGATGGTGCAGGAGAGAGTTGTGATGACCCGACGAAACTGTACGGCGGGGGAGGAGGCTCGTCACTGTTTAACATTGACATGTCGAGGCTTTTACATCCGTTCGCTTTAGTTGATAACTTATAGCTGGCGGTGGGTGGATACTGAAAAGGCTCTGGAAGCTTTTGGGAAATTCACAGGATAGTATTCTTTTGTTTTTTTCCTTTGTTTTTGAAATATCGATCGGTCCACGCCACCAGACACACTCCCTGATGCGGCGCTTCAGCATCCACTGGATAGCCCTGGTTGCCTCAGCCGGCGACCTTTTGACTTCACCAGTTGATTCAAGTTTGGAAATGAAATGACGTCTCTTTTTCTTTCGTATGGTGGATAACACAAAATGAAAATATTTAAATGTTACAACCCATTCAAGACTAAAGAGAAACAGCAGGATGAGCTGGCATCATGTTGAATGTCACACACACAGTGACAACTTATTAGACAACATTGATAGTCAGTGAATATAGTGATTATACTACTGAGCACTAGCAGTCATCTCTGAACAATCAAATCAACTACATCTCATAACTTGTTAAAATATCTTAATACACATGAGTCTCTGTGTGCAAAGACATTTCAGAGCTAAGCTCAAAATGAAAGACTTTGCAAGATTGATTTTACAGCTTATTATTAATAACAAGCATTATATAGAATAGTTGAAGATTGTATTAATAGATCTATCTATAAAGAGCTTAATATAGTAGTTAATCATGTGATCTAGAGAGATTGCTACAGTTAATAACTATATCTCAGCAGGCTCAGACTCTCTGACTCAGTTTGAATGAGTTGCAGCATTATTATTAACTAATTCAGCATGACACTAACCTACTTTTGATACAAGTTATGTGCTCAGAGCAATTCTCATCAGAGAGTCTGAGAAGAAACAGTTTCATCTTCAATGAAGATTTCTGAGATTTACAAGGATTTTTCAGATTCTTTAACTTTGACTTTCTATTACTATATATCTACATATCTTTGAGATTTGAAAATCACCTTAGCTTATAGCTAAAGAGAAGAAGAATAGAAATATTTTTTTAATATTTCAAAAAAATCTATATTTAGGATAGATATATACTCTTGAAAATAATTATATTTTTTGATCTCAGAATTTCTAAGAGCTTTTTTTTATATGAGGAATTGAATTAAAATTTCTGTGTTTAAAAACACACTAGTCAACTTTGAGATGATACTTCTATTTTAAGAACTTGAGATATGAATATAAAAATCAGATACATCATAAGAATATTATTATTCTAAGATTTCAAGATAATATAGAAATGATGAATCTATGAAATTAAGTTGAAATTCTCTTTCATACTCAGAGTACTGAGTAAATTGTTTCTGTGTTACTAATAATCAGAAACTGTTTCTTCTCAGATACTTTGTAAGATATTATCACTTATATAATCTGATTTTATTGTTTAAGTTAGCTTATTGCTTATTTGAGGTTAGCTTATAATATAATCATTAATTCAGTGTTAAAACAGTAATGAATATCTGAAGAAGTGTCTGAGCTTACTGAGATAATAATAACTGTAATAACTGTAACAGTCAACACTCTCTCTTAAGATAATAAGAATTACATGTAAAAACACTTAATTTACTAAGATAGTCTGTCAAAATCAAATTTAAATGAATATGTAAAATGAATTATTTCTGACTTCTTCACCTGCAAGACCTAGTAAAATTATGAATTGTATAAATATCACAGTGTCTAGAGATTTAGTAAGTTTATTTACTACTATCTGAGTAGTAAAAATATATTTCAAATTAATAATTCTCTGATTCAACTGTCAATGGGAAAAAGAAAAATATGTATTAATATACTTACTTCAGACTGTAATAACTGTTATCTTTATAAGATCTATAGTACTCTTATTATCAGTGAGAATCTGTATCAGAGATGTAATAATAAAGTCAAGCTTAATTATGAGATTTCAGATTTATATTACTTAATAAACTGTCTCACTAAGAGTTACATATTTAATCTTATTGAAACTTAGAGATATATAAGACTACTTCACTGAATATTATGAAATCAGATTATCTATAAGCTTAAAAATATAACTGAATATTAATTTTCTATTATTATTTAAGAGACCTGCTCAATCTGAATCTGAGTAGTCAAAGAGTAAGTAGAAATTATCAGAGAAATCAGAGAGAACAGAAGAATTAATAGAAATAAAAGAATTAGTAAAAATAGAAGAATTAGTGAGAATAAAAGAATCAGTGAGAATAAAACTCTTATAATTTGAAAGAATATACAGCTACTGAATAATAACACGCCTGCTTCTGAATAAGCTTATAAATGTAAAGAGGCTCTAGCAGCTGCTAATTAATTTACATATAAGAAGTCAGTGTACACTTATAATCTTATACTGATTTAAGCAATCTTTGAATCACATCTGATAGCATGTCTAAAAACTAGTGAGAAGTGCAGACTTCTTCAAAGTATGATAATTCTGTTTATAAAGTAATTTGTAGTTATCATGTCAGAGTGATTTTAAAATGTCTCAGAATAAAGTATATAAGAAGTAGTAAGTGAAAGAGTATCTGATTGATACTACTCTGCTTATTCAGAGAAAACTTCACACTGAGATAAATGCTATGTATGTGAACAAAATAAGGCATGAGAAAGAGAATAGAAGTAGTGAATCAGATTCAAAGAAGTTCACTCCCTACTTAGAAGAATAAAAGAGAAGTGATTATTATAAAAGTAATACAATAGTAATAGAAATCATAGAATGATAGATACTGTATAATCAATGAAAATTGTAAGAGATCTACACTAAATAGATTGGTATAATATATAGGTCTTATAATACAAAAGTGAAAAACATTAGAGAAGGAAAAAAGAGAAAGTACAGAAATCAGCAATCAGAGTGAATATTTATACATATACATGATAAAGCTTTGAGACAGAAGAATAGGAATTTCATGTATATAATGAAGCTTCAGAGTAAAAGAATAGAAATTCTGTGAGTTTTTCAGCTGAGAATCAGTGACTGAGAATCAGAGCTTTCAGTGAAATCTATGAAGTGTAATGAAATAGTCTATATAATTGATTGAATGCAGTCTGTCACATTAGTTCTCTCTTTTCAGAAGTGAGATAGAGTTGTGAGTGTATAGTTCTCATCAGTCAAGAGCTGCTTTCTCAGATAATACAGAGCTCAGAGTTCAGATCAGATGATTATAGCTGACTCATTTCACAAGATATTATCAGTCACAGCTGTGAGATCTCTTATCAGAAATATCTTCAATCTCTTATTCAAGTTCATTATCTTCTTCTCTGATTCCTGGCAGCTGCTAGTTGAAAGTTAGTTGAGAAGAGAACAGATCAGTGATGACACAGCAAAGCAAGCTTATATAAAAGACATTATGAATCTCTGATAATATGTCAAGATAATTGTTATAACTGTCTAGAACTTATATCATTTTATACTTGATATAACAGTGATTCAGTGTATAAGATAGATATGTAATTCATATATTCTTCAGATTCAATCATATCAGATCTTCTATCTTATATTACTCAGCAGAATCTCAATGAATATTGATTCAATCTTCTTAATCTTGTTTAGCACTTGTTATGAAGGCTTCTGCTCAGTTACAAATATCTCAGAGCTTTATTACTATATTATCAGTGATCTGAATCAGACTGCAGGAATTCAGTGTGAACTGAGTGATCTCTAGAAGATTCAACAGCTTTAAATGATAATCATGTGTAAGGAAGAATGAGCTTACACCTGTTGAAACAGCATCTCAATCATTGATAGTAATCTCTATGTGTAGAAGAAGATTATATCAATCATTCTGTGAATAATTATAGAACTTATAAAGATAGTTCTTTACAGTCTGAATCATTCATTCTGATACATCATCAGTCTCAGAGTGATAGACAGTTAATAAACAGTATATAATCTTGAGAACTTGACAGATTTTTGTTTAGAGAGTACTTATGAATTAACAGCTCTGATTTGATACTATAGATCTCAGTAATTCATACATTCAATAGAATGAGCTTCATAGAAAGACTTCAGTGACTTGTTCAGTATTCATCTTATTACAAGGTTTCAATATTATATCTTTGCTCAATCAGTTTATAATAATCAGAATGTTTCTACAATTCTTACTCTTAGAGAGATTAACAGTGAAGTCAATTACTACATCTCATCAGATTCTATCAGAGATATTAAGTGATTTCAGTAGATCTTTTCTATGATTCTTTCATGAGATGGTAGAAGAATAATAGTTGAAGTTTCAGATAAAATATCTAATACTGTTTAATATCTCAGGCTAGTAGAACTCTTAAGAGATCATTTAATACAGTTACTCACAATCTGAGTGACTGATCATATATAAATCATGCATCTCTTGCATTATCTGAGTGTGTAAGAGTTTGAAGTAAGAGACTCAACATCATTCACAGAATCACAGAGTGTTATTATCATCAATTGAGTATTCTGAGATGATGATTCTTATACATAGTTCTGAGAGAAATCAGAGTGCTTCTTGACATACTGCTTCAGTGAGTATTTGAAGAAGTTCATCAGTTTGAGCTGATGTATACTACAATTCATTTAGTGTAGATTTAGAAGAAGTTGAGATATCAGTGTCAGTGTCAGTGACAGTTCAGAGAGAAAGTGTTCTAATTAGAGAAGTATATATAGTGTTTTAAGTTGTTCTATCTTGATTAACTAGTATCTTCAGATCTAAGAGCTGATGTTCTCAGTTCATTCAACAGGTGTCTGTTATATCAGAAGATATATCTTACTCTCATTATAAGAGAGCATCTGTCATTGAGTTCTGACTACTAGAGTAATAGTGTATAGTGAAATGAAAACAGTTTAATAGCTCAGATTATCACATCTGACATTCAGTAAGCTTGTAAGTGATTGTGAAATACTTGAGATTCTTATAATCTGGAATTATCTCAAATTTGAAGACACTTTGAAGTTCAGAATCTCATTCTTCTAGATAGTATATAATCATGAGAAGTTTCTTATTATAGATCTTATAATTGCATTCAGCAGGACTCAGTTTC